CATCTGCCATTTTATTTGTAGGATATTGGCATATTGGATATTGGCCAGAATCTCAGTATGGTGCATCCCTAATGTTTTGTTTATGTTTACATACTTGGGTTATGTGAAATAGAAACAGAAAAGAAAAAGATCTCATTAGACTTCATAATTACATCCCGTTTGATTTTGATTTTCACTCAGATATTTAAATGTTCTGTCTGAAAACATTACTAGAACAGGTCCATTGAAGTCTTATTTTAGACAGGGAAACTTTGACGTCTCTCATTACATATGGCTCCCTAACTTATAGATCATAAAAACAGATTCTCTGCACTTCTACTGATTTGTAACTTATCAAAGCAATACTCTAAGACGCCTGTTATCACATGTAGCCACTGGCACATATTTGCTGTCTTCTTCATTAGTTCGTACTGACAGTTTTCAAATGTTTCTCCTTGTCTTAAAACGTCTTGGATATACAGTTTTCCTTGAACAGTTTGGCTGTTGATGCTGATTAGGTCTACATCATAGGACGTTTAACTTGCAAATAATCTCTGCCAGTGTTTTTTCTGAATACACCTGAAAAGACAAGCCAAGTACTACCTTTGCACTAACATCAAAGTGTAATTGCAAATAGAGGTTGCTGAAGTTTTTCATGCAACTCTCTCATCTTTATAAAATTCTATTGAAACATATGTCTGTAACTCAGATTCCAGTCATGTTTCCAGGCAAATAGCGATGTCAGTTGAGGAGTGGCTGTTTCATCTGCTCCATTACATCTCAGCCATTTTGCACTCTAGCCATAGACTTGCTGCCTCCACCTCAGCACTTGACTGGGTCACGTTGTAATAATTGTGCTTGGCAAGTGTGCCCTGGTAGAAAAGTCCAATTTCTCTGACTCTGGGTCTCACCCTATCAGCACAGGTTCTCACAGGGTTTTACTTTGAGGCCCGTATAAAAGAGAAATTGTTATACATTGTCTTACTCTTTAGTCAGTATCTTTATCTGGTACTGTTTTTAGTATTATAGGGACGTCTGAGTTAAAAAAAAAAAGAAAATAGCAACTATAGTTTATGATGCTACTTTTTGTGGAATTAAGCTATTACTTAAAGGAATTTTTTGTTGCATATATCATCAGTTAAAATGTAAACCCTTATATGCACAAGTGACAGGACCCTACACTCTTCCATAAGCAGGTTAACAGTCAGTGTACCTTAGAATCAGTGTGTTTTTATGCTTTTTCAGTCAGTTTAGTTGCAGATGATAATTTCCAATATGTTTTGGAAGGTAACTGCATCCACACAAAAATATTTTTTTTAATGGTTAAAATAGTCAAAAAAATTGTGCCATAGTAACAGAATAATGATCAATATCCATTCTGTGTGTTTTCTTGTAAGAGTGTTTGTGTGAAACAACAGTATTTGCATGTATGTAACGGTCCTGGACCCTCACAATTGTTGCAGACTACGTGTTTCGGACTGTAATCGTTGCACGCAAGTACATGACCTCACAATCATTGTTAGTTGGGTAGAGCTTGGCATGTCTTTCTCTTTGGTTGAGCATGTTTTGTCTTCCCTGCTGGTGATTTGTGAGTTTGGACCTTCTACCATCTACCCATTGCTTCTAAGACCAGAGTTTGATTTCAACTTCTCCTGTTTGGTCTGAAAAGATCCTCTGCGAACCATATTGAGGAAGAAACTTCAACCACTGGTGATATCACTCTTGAATTCAGGGTGCTGACAAAACAAAAGAAGTATGCCATCAGGGTGGAAATATCAACGATGTACCTTAAAGCAGTGTTTCTTCTCTGAGATTAAAGTTTTCAGATGTAGGTTCCAACACCTCGTCTAGGGCTCGGCAACTAATCACATTCGCATTATAATTGCAATTTAGCAAGACATTGTTCAAATCGCAGATTCACTGATTTATATTGAGGTTTTTTAATAGATAGTATGCCAAGTCATGCCAAGTTTTTATCTTAATTTTCAGCCCGAAACAAATCGATTTAAACACTGCTGGCATATTAAAATATTAGTGATATATTTACATATATCTAAAGAAATAACTACATGTATCCGCTGTTTTTAACGGATATTATAATAAAATTTTGTTGCTTGTTTTCCTCAGGTTTAGTGAAAATGTCAGCACCATAGCCTTTCAGGTTGTAGTCTTATATGATCAGTGTTTTTAGCTTTGCTAACAGATCTCTGTAGTATAAAAACTAAACCAGGTGGATTCAGTTTGGGTTGTTTTGTTTCAGCTGTTTACTGCTTAAACGCCTAAGGATTGTACAGGATTGTGGAAGCTCATTAGCTAACTGATGCAGCATAACTCTAACATATAGGATTTGTATGTGTTGTCTAATATTGTGCAGCACCAGCCCCTAATAGGATTGACTTTAACCTACAGTTGTAACAAAATAACTCAAGATAGAACATGTTCTGCTGCAAACGTATGCGAGTTGGGCACCATTTGGCCTTGTGGTTCACTGAGTGACTCAAATAAGCCTTTGCACCGTTCTCCACAACGGTATGTCTGGCTTGATCAATTTCTTACTGGTCAGCAGATTGTGGGTGATGGTGGTTTGGATGATACTCTCGTGAAACAACTGCTGACACGACTGTGACTGGACCCCATGGCTTCGCATACACTCAGCCGGTGTCCTTGTAGTAGTTTCTGGTGACGCGTGTGTTTGGGTTCCCCCCCCCCCCCCCCCCCCCCCCCCCCCCCACACATCATGACGACATGTTCCGTGGTATTATTGGACACAAAGCAATGCATTGCTTGTTATCACGAGTTAACATTTTGCCTCCATTAAGATCTGTTTGATGTCTGTTAAATGATCTCCATGTCTGACTTAAGAAAGGAGAAGTGAGGTTTGGGTCATGTATCAGCCGTATTTACCTGCCACGACGTCCTCTCCTTTTGTCGCTGTTCCTTATTAGAGGAATTTTGTTCCCTGTAATGTTAGAGCTTTGTGTATCTTCACACATCGGGTCCATTGTCTGATATATCCAGTCTGTTAGAGAGAATTCATGTTTGTGCCCTAGTTCTGTGACCATGTGTGGCACCTGTTTACATTGTTTAGCTCACGTGGTCGGTCTGCTGTCTTTTATTAGCAACTTATTATGTAAAAAAAGAGATTGCTGATTTTATCTGGGATAAAAGGAGTGTGGACCTTTCAGAAAACCTGTCTGAATGGCATAGCAGCATGAAGATAAGTGACAGCATATCTGTGCTAATTGTTGACATACATCCGATGAACAGGTCACTTGCACGTCTGGATTTTTTCTTCTTTAACAACAAGTTTTCTTCATCAAATAAAGAAAAAGATCGGCCTGTAGTAAGGCATTAGATGTGGCATAGCTTGGACTGTAGCCAGCAGAGGCACCTTATTAAACCTTAGACTAGGTTCTCCACTGCGAGTTCATTGCTTCATTGCTTTTTTTTAAGAGCCATCTGCTCTCTGCAATGTTTACCTGAAAGCCTCGCAAATTTCTGGTAGTATATTATTATATTATGAATTTGGGGCGGTGGCGATGTCACACTGTGAGTGAGATCGATTTTGACATTTTAGCTTCTTACTGCAGTGAGAACATTGACGCCAAAGTGTGATTTGATGACAGCCGCTTACGGTCATTTCTCTACCCATCTGCATTCAAAGCAAACACGAATGCAGCACCTCTCAAATTTGAGGTGCCTGAAAGGTATTACGGTAATCTTCTACAGATTATATGCTAGCAGGATGACAGATGACAGGTGGAGATTATGAAAGGTTATAAAATAGCAGCAGTTCTTGTTAAGATGAAGTTAAATCTTTCTTTCTGACTCTGAGTGAAACAGAGATGGTCACTGGTTCGAAAAGAAGTGAAACATTTGTGGTTGTGTCCTTCGTTCGAACACACAGAGGGGGACGGGGCTGTGGAAATGGTCACAGTGGGTTGTTGGGAGTTGCCGGTGTGACTGATGTTTACATTGTGCTGCTACCAGGCCTGTTACCTTTGTCAGCATGCTGTGATTCAAATCGGCCTTGTCTTGGCCCTATCATGTCCTGGGTTAAAATGGGATGCAGGTAGAGGTGGGATTTGATTTTAGTGGGATTTAGATTTGTGTGTGTGTGTGTGGGGGGGGATTAATAAAAACAAGCATTTGATCCTTTTGTTTGACTGAAAGACCTTTTTCTTTTCTAAATGATTTCCCGTATGGGAAAGCTTTTGTGTCTGTTTCAAGGACTCAGATGTTTTTGTCGACAATGGCAGGTTTTAACTGGTTGGACTGGATTGTTGCTTTGCATGTGGATCGCCTATTTTGTTTGGCAAGCCTCGTATCTCAGCCCGGGCTCATTTTGTTTACCTCCTTTCGCTCACCTTAAACGTCCAGGCCTCATTGTGGAAAATGTTTTGTTTTCAAGCTGTTTTGTCTTTGATTAGAAAGAAGGAACAAACTAACTGTCCTCTCTGTTTGTTCAATAACATCATAGATTTACATCTCTTCTAATGGGCACTAATGCAATCCCTTGTTTTAACTTAATCTGACAGGCTTTGGTTTGCTTTCCATAGAGAAAGAGTAGAACAAGTGTTTCTCATCTGCTCTCTCTCACTTTACACCTATGATACAGAGACATGCTGCTGTTTTTAGCTGCGGAAACCCTTCCCCACTAGCTGTAAAGAGATTCATCGAATTAAGTAATTGTCTTAGCCTCCTTAGAATTATGTAAATATTTACATAAGAAAATATATTGTCTTTTAGTGTCACATTTCTATCTGCTAGCAGCCTTGATTCTTGCCTTTTTAGTACCATTTACATGATGCTCATCTATACTCCTAAAACTGAATACACCTGAAAAGAAAAGCCAAGTACCACCTTTGCACTAACATCAAAGTGTAATTGCAGATAGAGATGGCTTAAATTTTATCATGCAACTCTCTCATCTTCAATAATATTCAATTGAAACATAGTCCAGCCAATCATTGCTCTGAAGACAAATTGTTTTGACTCTAAGATCTTGTGCTGTTTTTCAGATTGTGCTGTGAACGTTCACAAGAGCTGCAAATCTTTGCTTGGCGAGTGCACCAGCAGCAAGAACAAGGTAAACATTACACTTCAGACCAGATAAGAGCACCAAGGCCGAGGTTTTGGCCACATTAGCACCTTAATAATGAATGTTGCAGACACATGTCCACAGACACCTTGACCTTTTGAAATAAATAAATAAGCAGTTTAAAGATTGTAACAAAAACAGTCGTTGTTGTACAAGTAACTTTTTGTCAGAGTATGTTGATAGTATTTCCACATTGCACACGGTACTACACATTTATGGATTTGAAATCTAAACTCTGTAAAGTATGTTTAGAGATGCAAAAATCCACTAGAATCAGTTGATTTTAATTGACAGGGATCGAGTGGATAGATCCTAACTTCAGATCAGTCGAAGCTTCAGCTTCATTTAGAAATAGAAGTCCATCATCCAAACACAACGCGCTAGCTGTGCAAGAAATGCAGCACATTCTAGTATGGATTATATTAAGAATGTATTTTGATTATATAATTATACTGTCCAAGGTGTCTGTTCCCCTTTTTAGTAGAACTAAACTCACAGCTCTTCATTATTGGTGGTGCAAAGTGTTTGAGTATTGGTTTAGTCATACCATAGTCTACCTAATACTAATGCTCACCCTACTGAACACACTTTCGTGTGGAAGGTATTACTGAAGGAAGGAGATTCAAAGTACAGGTGCTGGTCATAAAATTAGAATATCATGAAAAAGTAGATTGATTTCAGTAATTCCATTTAAAAAGTGAAACTTGTATATTATATTCATACATTACATACAAACTCATATATTTCAGATGTTTATTTTGTTTAATTTTGATGATTACAAATGACAACAAATGAAAATCTCAAATTCATCATATCAGAAAATTAGAATATTACTGAAGACCAATAAAAACAAAGGATTTATAGAAATGTTGGCCAACTGAAAAGTATGAACATGAAAAGTATGAGCATGTACAGCACTCAGTATTTAGTTGGGCCTCCTTTGGCCTGTATTACTGCAGCAATGCGGCGTGGCATGGAGTCGATCAGTCTGTGGCACTGCTCAGGTGTTATGATAGCCCAGGTTGCTCTAATAGTGGCTTTTAGCTCTTCTGAATTGTTGGGTCTGGTGTATTGCATCTTCTTCTTCACAATACCCCATAGATTTTCTATGGGGTTAAGGTCAGGAGAGTTTGCTGGCCAATTAAGAACAGGGATACCATGGTCCTTCAACCAGGTACTGGTAGCTTTGGCACTGTGTGCAGGTGCCAAGTCCTGTTGGAAAATGAAATCTGCATCTCCAAAAAGTTGGTCAGCTGCAGTAAGCATGAAGTGCTCTAAAACTTCCTGGTATGTGGCTGCGTTGACCCTGGACCTCAGAAAACACAATGGACCAACACCAGCAGATGACATGGCACCCCAAACCATCACTGACTGTGGAAACTTTACACTGGACTTCAAGCAACGTGGATGAAGTGCCTCTCTTCTTTTCCTCCAGACTCTGGGACCTTGATTTCCAAAGGAAATGCAAAATTTACTTTCATCAGAGAACATGACTTTGGACCACTCACCAGCAGTCCAGTCCTGTTTCTCTTTAGACGCTTCTGACGCTGTCTGTGGTTCAAGAGTGGCTTGACACAAGGAATGCGACAGCAGAAACCCATGTCTTTCATACGTCTGTGTGTGGTGGTTCTTGAAGCACTCACTCCAGCTGCAGTCCACTCTTTGTGAATCTCCCCCACATTTTTGAAGGGGTTTTGTTTCACAATCCTCTCCAGGGTGCGGTTATCTCTCTTGCTTGTACACTTTTTTCGACCACATCTTTTCCTTCCCTTCGCCTCTCTATTAATGTGCTTGGACACTGAGCTCTGTGAACAGCCAGCCTCTTTAGCGATGACCTTTTGTGTCTTGCCCTCCTTGTGCAAGGTGTCGATGGTCGTCTTTTGGACAACTGTCAAGTCAGCAGTCTTCCCCATGATTGTGTAGCCTATAGAACTAGACTGAAAGACCATTTAAAGGCTTTTGCAGGTGGTTTGAGTTAATTAGCTGATTAGAGTGTGGCACCAGGGGCCATCAATTTTGAACCTTTTCACAATATTCTAATTTTCTGATATGATGAATTTGAGATTTTCATTTGTTGTCATTTGTAATCATCAAAATTAAACAAAATAAACATCTGAAATATATGAGTTTGTATGTAATGTATGAATATAATATACAAGTTTCACTTTTTAAATGGAATTACTGAAATCAATCTACTTTTTCATGATATTCTAATTTTATGACCAGCACCTGTATCTGTGAGGCGTTAAAAGGTTTAGGAGGCTTTGTTTTTGACCAAAGTAGGTCAGCTCTACTTTCAAATGAGGGAGATTGGAGCAAATATCAGGAAGCTGATGGTTTTAGAGCAAACTTATATTCATTTAATTAGGATTTGTGTTATTCTTACTGCTGGGGATGCTCACATTGACAAAACACAAAATCTTTAAAGATTTCCACTGAGAATCACACACAGATCCATCCATTAACTTTTTGTGGTGTTTCTGTCAACCTTTCCACTGAGCCTCTCTTGCTTTGGGCTGATGTTTGAAGTTTACAAAATTCTTGCCTGTGAATTTTAAGCATAGCTTGGCATGTGCAAGAAATTAAGGTTGTCTGAAAATGTGCTTTTATTCACCCTGACCTTTGAACTACAGCAGCAAGACAAACATTTTTTCAATCAAAAAATAAAAGGTAGATTGGTTGTACTTGTAGAACGCCTTTTTTAATGTTGCACTGTTCATTGTCACTTGTGCACCTATAATGTGTAAAAAGCTCTGAAACCTCATTACACTGACACATTCAGTTTTATTTAATTCAAGGAGAATCAATCACATTTATTCTGTTTTATGGATTTGAGCTTCTGATTTTTAAAATCTGAATTATTGAACTTAACCACATGTAAACCCGCAAAATAACAGAAATGACTTCAGTTGAATGTAAGCTTTAAATATCCCTATGTTCTGGCCTTTTAAATACACATTGGTCTGTGCACCCAAAAGCATCACATCCATGTTTTTTTTTTGTCAAACGGGGCACTTTCATTCTTACTAAAACAAAACAAAACAAAGCAAAGAAAAACTGTGGAAGATCAACAGATTAACTCCAAACAAGTCAGTGGTGATGATTCATAAGGTGTAGAAAGTCACACTTGTCTATAAATAGCTGTGTGTTGGTAAAAGGATGCTTGCATTGGCGCTGCTGGAGGACTTTTCAAGTGGAAGAATGCAGAGAGAGTGCGTGTTTGACCTCCTGCCACATGATGATGGATGCTAGCTGCATGGTTTAGTTTGACCAGCATCACAGAGGCCAGTTCGGTGTCTCCCTATGTGGTCTTTCCAAGCAGAGTGTTTCAGTGAGCTGATTGATGGCCCAGTATCTAACAGTCATCTTGGAGCCACCCCATGCCTGCCATTTGGGACAACCTCATCCGAATGGTTCTTAGATACTTAACAGTCTATTAACTGCACCTAACTGTTAACTGGCTTCTGTTTTTGAATTTCCTATTTTATTTTTGGATGTCCTTAATTGTTACTTCATTGCGTTTTGTGGTGACACGTTCCTAATCTAAATATAGTGGTATAATCATGTGAATTAAAGCGACACATCCCAATAATTTAGTTCAGAGAACCGTTTAGACTTCACACAAAATATGGAAAACAAAAATTGACAGACTTTTATTTTCCGCCACTTTATTTTTTGACAAAGAGTTTGTTAACCTGCTCTAACAAGCATCCTTGAGGTGTGTCGATAAAGTCTCTGTGATGGCCTGAAAGCACAGTCGCTGTGGTTATATGCAAATGTGCTGGGAGCCTTTCAGGTAATTACACTGATTTTAAATCTAGGATTTGGAACCGGGCGACAAAAAGTACAATGAGACTGAAAATATGAAGGAATATGAAAAATAAATGTGTCAACACTCTTTTTATGAAGTGCTTTGTCATATAATTAGGCAGATAAGTGCTGCACAGGTTAATAAAAATATAATAGGGTGGAATCATGATAATGAAAGCAGTTATCAATAACAGTGTAATAAAAAAAGCAATAAAAAAATGGTGCAAAGACCAACCTGCTATTCATCCTCTGGGGTCGAAGAAACATAAGAAACATTCTTAAAGATTGTTTAATTCTTAAAGTTTTCTGATAACCCTTACAGAGAGGTAATTGTTCTAATAGAGACAATATAATTATTCCCAGTATAAAAGGAAATCTTTGTTTGGGCCTCTTTCATGTTTACGTTTTCAGAAAATCTCATTGTCTAATCAATTTCACATCTCGCATATATGTTTATATAAAAGGTAACGAAAGCAACACTGTTTTCTTAGTAATTTATCTGATGGGAATATTGGCTCACTATCAATTTGAATTTATTTTTAGTCTGTCTTTACTGGAAAAAATCGAAATCTAGATAAGTCATTATCATTTTCTTAAAATAAGTACATTTGTTGTTGGATTGAGGAAGTAAAAGACATTTTGCCAATGGAACAAGACAATTTACATTTAGAATAAGAAAACATAATTGCATTGTCTTATTTCAAGTGCATATTATCTAATTATCTTATTTTAAGAGTAAAAATACTCATTCCATTGACAAACTATCTCATTTACCTACTCAAATTAAGGGTAAATATATTAAAGTTAAGAAATGTTTTACTTATTTCTAGATTGTTTTTCCAGTGTAGAAGTCTGTGTCTTCAAAAGGTTTGCTAGGACAATAGATAGAGGGTCAGTTATCAGGTACGTTTCTTTAATTTGGGTGTTGATTTAAAAATGTTAGCATCACGGCGACCCTGAAATAAGACATGCTAGCTCCTTTCCAACAGGTAATATAGTTGTAAGCATATCTCTGACTAATATAGTCCCATTTTATATGACTGGACAGTTAAATATGTCAAGTCTATGTAGAGAAGTGAAGCATAACAGGTGTGCAGCTTTGCTTCATCATTTTAATTTTTGCCTGTTATCTCCAATTGGTGCTTCTCCAGCTTCAGCACAGTATATTGTTATAAGATTTGTATTTTGATGGTAAAAAGGAACACCTTTAAATTCTTGTAACAACTCAGTTGACTGACTGTCCTATTTTATTTTTCACACAGAGAGATCCTCACTTGAGGGGCGGTGGTTCAGCATCTCCTAACCTTGGTGAGCAGAACATTTCAATTGTTGGTATATGACTCATTTTCTCATCAACCTAATAGGGTTTAGGCTCGTAGATTGGCCATTTTAAAATCCATCTGTGTGTGTCTTTACGGGTGTATGTTTGTGCGTAGGGTGGGTAGATTGGTCTCCTACAGTTAGTAGATAAAGGTGATGATTAGCCATGAAGGAGATTCAGGCTCTGCACCCATTTCTCTATATATTCCAATGCAAATATTTTATAAACACAACAAACAAGTAATAAGCTACAAAATCTGATGCTTGTTTGTCAGTATTTTCATTTGTAATTTTCAGTTACTCTTTACTACTGTAAATATTCCACTTCTGCTTAATGTTTTTGATGCAAAACTACCTTGTTGTAATTCTAAACTAAGTTTTGTTTTATAGACATTAGGCTTCGGCATCGTCTAAATTGGAACGATTCTGATTCCTTGTTTCGATTCTGGTTACTATTGGTTCTCAATTAAAAATGTTTTTTTTTTTTTTTTTTTTTTTTTTAACAGTAAGGGTTTTAAAATGAATTATTTTATTGAACTTTTTACTTCATGTAAACCTGACTATAAATGATCTCAGAATTGTTTTCAACAAGTATATAAAATTCAAACTTATGCCTTATGAGACAATTTAACTATTTCATTTATGTGACTCTGTCTCTGGTGGTAGGCTGAGTGTCTGAGCTTGGAGAAAAAGCAGCACAACAGCTGTTTTGCTTAGGAAAAGATCCCTAAAGAATTTATACCCTCATTGTCTTTCACTGCACCTCAGTGCTACTTAACTAGACGTGGAAAAACAAATGTTTTAGTTTTGTTGACAGAGAATCAATTGAATATAAACGGTCAGATCTCATACTCCATCGTTCATTTAGTGGGTCACGCTTAAAATTATTCAAAATCTGGCTGATCTAGATAGAAGTGCTTTTCATTCTATAGAGAACGTGAAGAAAGAAGACAGGTAAATGTTAAAATGTAATCTGAAAGAGGGAAAGGATTACAAAACCGGCTCAGCTCCCCCCTGCAGAAGATTGTTACAAATGTTGGGTGGAGGCAAACAACACCTGTGCAGCCGGTCCTTTGCATAATATAATCCAATCATAATTGCTGCAAGTCATTGACTGGTCCTGTCTTTAATTATCATTAAGCAAAACTTTTAAATGCAACCACACAAACAAATGGTTGGGCAAAATTCTTCTTTGCTGGTTTTCAGCGGCTTGTTCTACTGTACTTTGAAATTGGGCATTGAAAATTCAAAGGTTAAAGCCACTTCCAGTCGATGATTGGTGCCCAACCCTGCTAGACATCCTACTTGGTAATTATATTTTAGCTGTAAGGAATTAAGAGTCATTTATATTTATTTGCATTTATAGTAATACCAGCTGATCTTGCCTTATACTGCTCATCTCAGTCACCACTCCTAATTGCACCATCAGCAGGTGTGAATGCATGTGATTGAACCCACAGGAGACATGTGTGGCTGCAGCAGCGGCAGGCTTTAGTTAATCTCCTGTAGAAGCTGTTATTCCCCTCAAAGCAGCTGGAGTCCTGCCAGCCACACCTGATTTCTCCACACGTCTTGGTCCGGCCAATCAGTGGTTTGTGCAGGGGGTCGGGAACACGATGAGCAGAGAGAGGATTGATGAGCACTGAAGAAAAAAAGAATGTGCTAGAAACATAAGAAGGGTGCACATCTTTCTGGAAGTTACTGCAGGAACTGGGATGTTGGGGCTTCTGGGTCGGTTCATATAAAGAGCGGATTTTGAGACGACCTCTCGATACTCTTTTATGTCAGTGAAGTCGCATCCCGTTGCTGAACTTCGTCTTGGAGTAGGAGTTTCTTTACCAGAGACATTTGCTATGGACCTAACGGTTTCCAAAGAAGCAGGGAAAACAGCGAGGGCCTCAACAGGTGCCTCCAAAACCATCAAGGCATCTTCTTCGTCTCTCTCTGCGTCGTCTTGGGGTCTTTCTGGACGTGTAGGCCTGCGAGTTCTGATGCACCGTGACATGATTACCTGCCGGTTGTACCGATCCCTGCCTCGATCCTGGCTGAAAAGATACTGGGGTCAACTTGGGAAGGATTCAAACAAGGCGTCATCTTTGCCACTCCGCTGGTCATCTTCTCCTTTCTCTATGTCGTCTCCTCGTTTGTCCCATTGTTCCTCCTCCATCCAGTCTCATTTCGTCCGTTCACCTGTGTCTCGTCTTTCTTTCCCAGCACTGAAAGACAAGGAGAGGGATCAGGCAGGCACAGCCGCATCTCAGGCTGCAGATGGCCAGCGAGGGTTTCCCGGCACCCCAGGCATGACCGTTAGTTTTTTTCCACCCACCAGTCAACCTTCAGCCAGCCTCAGCAGTAGCAGCGCTGCAGCTCCAGCTTCCAGCGTTGGTTCCAGCCTCCGTCACCACAGCAGCTCAGGGTGGGTTCCACTACCAAATATATATCTGGAAATGAATTTCTTTGTGAAAACTACATTTAGATTATTTATTTATATTGGGGAACATATTTGAAAAATAGGATTAATTGTGGTCAATATGAGATATATAGTGATATAAATCATACTTATGTAACAGGTGTCCTGCAGAACCCGAATTTAATACTAAATATTATATATATATTATTTTTTGCCAATGTCTTAGAGGTACATGAGAAAGACTGCAAAGAAGCAATGGCCTTTTTTAATCTTAACTTTTATTGTTGCCACGACAATATCATCTACTATCATAAGATTTGAAGTGCAAATCGCCCAGATGGAGATCTGTTGGCAGCACAGTGTTTAGCTTTTGTTTAAGCAAACTTCAGGCTTTTCCTTTCAGATCATCTTTTAACTGAATCTGAGTAGAATAGATCGTGTATCACTTATTTAGTTTGATTTTAAGGTAATCATATAAGCTTTTTATTGCCCTTGCCAATTAAGTTTTGATAAACTTGTCCATTTTGAACTGTTTGGTTGCGTAGATAAAAGGTTGATTTATTATTATTGGTTTTTTTTATGTTAATTATTGTGATTTTTATCTGTGACTGTCTTCGATCAGATCCCTTCCCGGGGACATGGATGAGGCAGATGCTCTCCGCTCTAAACGTTGCAATGACGACGCCATTTCCCTCGCCCCCTCCATCACAGAGTCCATCATCGTAGAAGGTGAGCTGATTCTCACAGTGGAGTCGAGGTTCAGAGGTTCAGACTTGCCGGTTGTTCTCCTCTTAGCACTATCGGCTTCTAGCAAAGTCCGCAGATTTTGCTGCTTAACATGATTGAAGGCTTTGAAACTGTTTGTCTTCAGGGAGTTTTTTTTTTTTTATTTTTTTTAAGCGAAAGAGTGAGGATGTTTTCCTGAGTCATGACTTCAGCCTCATTAAGCTGAACTGTGTAGGAGAGATCAGACTGACTGGAGACAAGGGCTCTATGTTTGTTCTAGTCTTCAGAGTTTTATTGGATTTGCTTTTAACACTGAAGCGCTGTTGCAAACACCTGATACTCATCATCCTTTATTTTTGGGTTTTTGTCCACCTCCATTGAATGCAATCCTGTAGATTTTAAATTTGTAAGAAAGGCCAAGTCTCCTACTATCATCTTGTTTTTCAATAATTTTAGAAATAATGAAAATCAAAGATTTTTTTTTATTCATATTTGGGTCATTTATAAAAGGTAATTTTTTTGCCATAGTTTTTTGAGTTCTCAGCCCTCTTTCTTCAGATTCTCACTATGCAGCAGTGCGGGCTGACCTGGAGTCCGATGCTCAGGACTTGGAGGCAGACTCCTGGAGTACAGCAGTCGATCAGCAGTATCTGAAGAAACATACAAAGGACGTGGTGAAAAGGCAGGATGTTATATACGGTAGGCGGGATTGCTTATTACTTCTACATGCATGTATAAAACATCACTGCTGTTCAACAGTAACTTGAGTTTTTTTTTTTTTTTTAAGCTGCATATTGAGATTGTAAAACCACATTTATTTATTTTTTATTTTAATCTGGTTTTGATATTCCTCAGAGCTTCTCAAGGAGTATTAATGTAGAAAGACGCAAATGGATAACATTTAAATTCATTAAAACTAAGAGGGTCAAGTAATTCTGCTTAATCAGATTTTTTTTAAATATCCTGAAATAGCTAATGTTCACAAATTGGTCTTATTGCATATATTATCTAATGCATTAGTGTTAAATAATTGTGGATGTCTTATTTATAGATTTACGGTTCTTATAGAAGTATTCATACCCAATTATTGTAGTAGATGACCCAGGTCACACAATCCTGCTGCTCACCTGTTGAATTTAACTTAGAGATAAGATGCACCTGTTTGTGTGACTTTGTTTCATTTATCATTAGTGCTTTTAAACACCATGCCAAATGCATCTTTCAATTTAAAAGAACATTATTTTTTATGTAAGATTCACCTCAAAATCTCGGAAGTATTATTTATTTAGCCCCTTTCCTTCAATTCCCTTTAATAAAGAATTAATGTTTGACTATAGCATATCAAAACGCATTCTGCAAAAGGAATTCTGAGAACCAATGTGTTTTTCTTGTATAGAGCTAATGCAGACCGAGATGCACCATGTGAGGACGCTAAAGATAATGCTGCGCGTCTATGTCCGAGAGATGAAGGAAAACCTCCAGATGGACTCTGGCAGACTGGACTGTCTGTTCCCCCGCTTGGAAAACCTCCTGGACCTTCACACGCATTTCCTGTCATGTCTCAGAGAGCGGCGGAGGGAAAACCTTGTCTCACCCAGCGACAGGAACTACACTATCAACAGAGTGGCAGACATCTTAATCACTCAGGTATGGACCAGAACAGTGATTCCAGCTTTCTGGAAGTGCCTCAAATATCTTACGGTTAAGCTTAGAAGCAAGCAAAGGTTGCAGAGTGTTGTTAAAGCATGTTATTGGTGTGCTGCTACTATGAGCCTGTTTGTTGTGTAGTTCTCAGGTGAAATAGGAGAGAGGATGAAGGACTGTTATGGACATTTCTGTAGCCACCACACTGAAGCTGTCAGCTTTTACAAGGAGCTGCTGCAAAACAATAGAAGGTTTCAGAACCTCATAAGGGTAGGTTGTGCAACCATTTGAGTTGTTACGCCTTTAATCAGTTCCCTTTTTATTGTGCCTGCGTAGACTGCCAAAAGATAGACATTTCTACTCTCTTTTTTTTCTTTTCTTTTTTTTCCTCCAGAAAATCAGCAACTTATCCATCGTACGGAGGTTAGGAGTGACCGAATGTATTTTGCTGGTAACACAGAGGATTACCAAGTATCCAGTACTGGTGGAGCGCATCCTCCACAACACAAGAGGTCCAACTGCAGCAGAAACCCCTATTACAATCATAACAAATTAAACAAAAGCGTTTGCAGATTGGATTTGAAAAACAGTGTTTGTTTGTTTTTTTCTGTCTGTAGAGGGTACAGAGGAGCATGAAGATCTGACTCGAGCGGTGAGTCTGATTAAAGACACCATCAAAGAGGTGGACACACTGGTTAATCTCCATGAGAAGGATTCCCGTCTCAGAGAAATACACAACAAGATGGAGCCAAAGGCACAGGGAAAGATCAAAGATGGCAGAGTGTTTCGCAGGGAGGACCTCGCTCAGGGCAGGAGGCGGCTGCTCCACGAGGGCACAGTGAGCTGGAAGGCTGCCTCTGGCAGACTCAAAGGTTTGCCTCAAAATTAACCACAATCAGACAACAACACTTCTTTGTCATCAACTAAATCCCTCTGATGATACTCTGCATCTTCCAGATATTCTGGCTGTCCTGCTGTCAGATGTGTTGCTCCTACTTCAAGAGAAGGATCAGAGATATGTATTTTCCACAGTTGTGAGTAATATTTGGTCTTTATTCATACAATTCATGTTGAAAGTTTAGCATAAATCCATGAGGAGCATAACTGCCATACGATGATGGGCCAACTTGGGTCAAATCAAACAACCTAAGTTGATTTTTAAACCAAGAAATGTTTGATTAAGTTTAGTTTTTTGTAGATTTTTTATTTTTACACATTTAGCCTCAGGAATCTGTGGAAAGATGCTCCTTTCAAGCTTTACAGAAATGTCAGACTTTCTTTAAGGATCAATAAGCTGCTACTAAAATTCAGTTTGCCTTGGTGAGCCTTGTCATCCTTCTCCTGAATAGGCTTTGAAGCGTGGCTGACATGTATCGTTAGGGTCATCGCCTGGGTCAGTGAAGAAGCATAAGGTTTTGGATCATAATCCTGCTGGAACAACAAATACTTTCAATGTTTCAGCCATTTATTGTTGGTCCTCCTTCCTTATTGTACATCTTTGCTGCTGCCACCACCGTGTTTGAGTGTTAAAACAGGAATCAGCACAATGAAAACTTTTCCTTTGTCTCATCTGACTGGAAAATACTTCTCCAGAAGTCATGCCGTTGGACTCCAAGTGTCACTTTTTAGCCAGAACTTGTTTCTTGTTTTTTTCCTCAGTCCACAGAGATGTAAAAATCTGATGATAACTTTAAACATGACATTCATCCATGAAGAGTAGATGCAAACTTTCTACCTGTACTGTAACACTGTTAACAATAGCTTTTATTAATCAGTTGTAGAAGAAAAAAATAAAATCAGTTTGTTCTCTGTTTCCCTGTCTTTAATCCTTTCAGGACAACAAGCCATCAGTGATTTCTCTCCAAAAGCTAATAGTTAGAGAGGTGGCCCATGAGGAGAAGGCCATGTTTCTCATCTGTGCTTCCTCAAGCGAGCCAGAGATGTACGAGATCCACACCACTTCTAAAGAGGAGCGAAACACTTGGATGACGCACATACGGCAAGCTGTAGAAAGGTAAACAGGAGTTACACAAGCGGTCTGTGTTGAAATACTTCTTACAAGCACATTAATTTCCTGTAAACATCTTAAAGCTGGTTGTGCAAAATGCATTGAATAGTTTTACAATGTTAAGACGGATAATAATTCGTAGCATGTTGCTGTGTTTTCTTTTAGTTGTCCTCATTCTGAGGAGAGGCTGGTCAGTGAGGAAGAGGAGGCTCGTGCTTCTAGACTTAGAGAGTTTCAAGGTAACGTCTGACGACAGGAACACAATCATGTCCACAAGGAGGTGCTGATGTCTCACATTAAGCCTTTGGTTTATTGATGGTGTCAGGAAATTAAAGAGTTGGCTCAGTTTGTTCCAAAGAATTCTTAGCAGTTTTTCTTTAATTTTTTTTTTTGAGGGGAAAAACTTTTTTTTTCTAAAAAACAGCTGATATCAGACCAAACAAACATATTAAGAGCTTAATATTCCCCTAAAATTACTCATATCTATAAGCTGATCAACTGAATTAACCCCAAAAGGGGTTAAATATGATCAGATATTAGATAGAACCTTATTGATCTCACAAGAAGAAGAAATTTGCTTGTGATATTGAGTCTTATAAACAACAGAAGTTTCACAAAGGAGGAAAAGGTGCATGAAGTATATGCAGTACATCAGATATATTTACAGTGGATAGGAAAAAAAACTAAGAAAAAGAGACTTATAGTGAATTTTATTCATTATTTATAATAGTATTCATCTATATACTCATTCAGTAGAAAACCCATGTCCTGTATTTATGGAACCATTATTTATCCTGCTCTTGCTGGTATTGCACTTCTGGTTAGACCTCAACTGCATTTCGTTGCCTTGTACCTGTAAATGTGTAATGACAATAAAGTTGAATCTAATCTAATCTATATACAGTAGGATTTAAGGTGTCTTATGTACAGTCAACTGGTGACTGGTTAAAACAAAGTGCAGTAAACACCAGTATGTATTTATTTTGTCATTTGTTTTTGAGTTAATCAAATTATGTCCGTTTGGGCCTGCAGAGCGTCTGAGCCAGCGAGATGCAGTGATCACCCAGGCTCTCACAGAGAAGCTGCAGCTGTTCACAGAAATGGCGGAGTCTGTGGCAGGTCTAGAGGACACGGCTTCCCGTTCTAGACTGCTGCTACGAGGAGACTCCTCAGACCTCCAGCAGGGAGAGACTCTACTCAAAGGAGCCATCACTGAAGGTAGGCAGGTGCTGTAAGGAAGGCAGGTGCTATGTATCATCTGCATCAAAGGCACCTTCTCTTGCACTGTATGGAAGTTGTGCACCCCTTTGCTTCTTTGTCTCTTAACATTTGCCGTTCTTGCTTTCTTTGAAACTTTAGTTGAAAACCTGCAGAACTTGTTGCAGTCTGGAGTGAGGGAGGAGGCTCAGTCCACTCGAGCAGAGGAAGGAAGCGGTTCTGGGGTTCTGCCCAGGAGAGCGGGAACCTTTGGAGGCTATGACAGCAGCCCGGCCATCCTCAGTAAGAGTGAGTTCAGTCTTCTCATCATTCTGTGGAACTGATTTATGTTTTTTTTTCCTTGGTAAACTTTCCTCTCTAGTCTTTACTTCTCTGTATTACATACACTTAAACATGCGGCATGTGTCCATATGAGCAGTGTATGTGTTTATAGATCTTTTGTTTCATTTCTGTGCTCCTACATGTATTTGTGTGTTTGCCAGACGGCAGCGTAAAGAAGAGCTTCTCTGGCGAGTCTAGAAATCGAGACAGGAGCCAGAGAGCCAGCTCAGACCCTCAGCTCAAAGACCTCTGTGGAAGCCACACCCTGGAGCAGACGGTAGGGGCCTCACACACCTACATACGCAGGATATTTTGGGATGTGTCACTCTGTTATTTATCTATGGATAAGCAGAGGGAAAGTTTTAATTTCCTTTTTTATGTTTGGTGGAATATGAATAGCACGAGTCTCTTTATGTGTTTATAAGTATAAACTCTAGATAAATATTATCATGAGAACATTCAGTTAATTCCCAACAATCGTGGTCCTTGAGAACAATCGCCCTGTCTAAATATAGCTCTGTGTTGGTGACAGGGAGCACTGTTTGTGGAACAAAAGCCAAGCCAACAGACAGAAATATACCAGACAAATATTTGATCTGAACTTCACTCTACTCCACAACACATTGCTGCTAAGCTGTTGCCTTTTTTTGATCATCAATTTCATGAACATCAACATTATTACATTTCTTTGTTTTTTACTTTTATGCATGTGACTTTTATTTGCATTATTTCTGTAAGTGAGTGGCCTCATACATGTGTCACGTCTGGAGATGATTCTACTTTCTACTAATTTTTAGCCCAGAGTCTGTGTGTGACTAGTTGGGGTTACAGTGTTTTCACTTTCTTTATTTCCATTCTTTCACTTTGTTTATTTCTCAGGTTGATCAGAGTTGCTCCTCTCCTCCAAAATGGAACCGCATCTGGTCCAACTCCTTCCCTGAAGCTGAGGTGATCTTTTCTCAACATACATAGCTGCTGGATCTTATTTCGCATTTGATCGGTGTCCTCATGTGGGGAAAATGCTTCAGAAATGTGTTCTTACAAATTCCCTGAATTCTCTTTCTTTATCATTCTAGTTCTTTGACAGAGTGCTGATGCTCTCCCAGAGGCTTTACAGCTTGCAGGTAATAAATACTGTGCTCTACACACTCTGATTTAGTTTACAAGACCTGCAATTCCAGATAAAACAATGTGTTCCGTTCAAAGCAAATATATACATATACTTTAAAAGGACTTATGATTATTTATTTATTTTTTTACTTCTCTGTTATTTGCCTGTTTTATGTCAGTTACCAGAATATTTTCCACTTGCTGAATGCCAGAATAGACAACCTTTGTGTTAAGGTTTTCATAAAACCGGCAAATTAGTATTGGATCTGGATACTCCTCAAACCCTCTGCCGCCTCTTGTGACTTAATGGAGAAATAAAAAGAAATCAGACTAGATATCAGGAAGAACACCGTGGACCCCTACAAGGTCGCAGTTATCTTCAACACTTTTTTATTTCACTATCTTTTGTCTATTTCTGAGAGTGTGGCTCAGGTTTGGTTGTGAAGAAGAAAGTGCAGGATCAGTTTAAATGTTTTGTTATTTATTTTTTGGTCCTTTAATATAATAACTGCAGAACGTTTCGCTGCTTCACTTTTCTGAACCCCATCAGGCATCAAACTCTTTCTGATATACTGCCTATAATCTTAGAAATTAATTCTGTTTAAAACGTTATTGGGTAATGGGACTTTTACAGCTTTTAACATGAAAAGGGAAATCTGCAGGGGTTTGAATAGTAGAATGACTGAGAAATGTTGAGCGTGAACAACACCTTCAGCGCAACGTCTTGCTGATGCTTCCCTCTATAGAAGGGGTCTGCGACCTTTATGATCCAAAGAGCTGATCTCGCCCTCGGTCCAGCTAAATGAAACATACTTATAGACGCAAATGTAAAGACTTTCTGGAAAAAAAGAAAATTTTTTTTTACCAGAAATATCTACTTGTTTTCATTTTTATCAAACCACTATTGTAATTTTAGAAAACAAAAAACAAATTTTTGCAAAAAAGAAAAAAATAATAATTTTTACTGTCATTTTCATTCCAGTTGGTATTTGTGGAAAATTATATAAAAAAATTGTTTGTAAACAATTGAAAAGAAAACAAATAGCATGTAAAAAAACATTCCTTTTAGGAATATTCTATTGCACAGATTCATACCATTTATTGACTAAGAACATACGTAAAACAACATAAATATTTAGCTAAAATCTGCATTACTGGTTTTTGTATCTATATTAAAAGGAAAGCATGATTGAAGCTTGAAAGCAACCTGATGCTTTAGCACCATCTTGTGGTAGTGCTGTTGGTAGTGCTCTGTTGCTTTTTTTTTTTTTTTTTTTTTTTTTTTTTTAGTTTAATGGGGATAAATCTTGATTGTTATCCTGAAGGGAGGCAGTATCTGCATTTTATTGTTACGAATCAACATATGATGTCAGAAGCCATGGTATGGCTTGGGTCTAATCATTGTAAATTGTACTTTCCCGTTTTGTTGATTGTGTCTTCTTGCTTTCCTCCTTGCTTAGGCCATCGTATCCCAGCAGGACAGCCAGATAGAGCTGCAGAGGGCCTCACTTACAGAGCGGGTGTCGTTACCTGGACGCCACAGAGGAAACGTGCTCCTAGAACAGGAGAAACAGCGAACTTTAGCTCTGCAGAGAGAGGAGCTGGCCAACCTGAACAAGCTTCAGTCTCAGCACAGGCAGGAGCAGCAGCGCTGGGAGAAGGAAAGGGAGAGGCACCGCCAGCAAGTGGAGGTGACCGAGGCCCGGCTACGGCAAAGAGAGGAGGAGTGCAGGAAACTTGAGGTACAGCTTTATGGTGCTGCTTTAAAGATACTAAGCTGATTTATAAGGGGTTGGATGCACACTACAGGTTTCAAATGCACATAGTTTTACATCGATAAGGCATATAAACTACAGTGCTGTATGATATATTTACTTTAATACAGGAGCAACTGGCTAAGGAGAAGGAGGAACTGGACCGGCAGAGAGAGACTTATCAGAAGGACCTGGAGAGACTGCGGGTGTCCACCAGAGCTGTGGAGAAAGAAAGGGAGCGACTGGAAAACGTGAAAAAGATGAAAAGGAAAACAATCGAGGTGAGAAGCCTATAATGGTAACAGGGATACAATATTTGGTGACATTCCAGAAAGTATTGAAATAATTTGATCCCAGTAGCATTTGAATGGATTAGGTTATTTTTAAACACGCATCTCTGTTTTTCTGAGATTATCTCCTGAGCTGGCAGGCTTAGGGCCGCTCACCTCTTACCTGTTCTAGATAACTTATTAAGTTTTCCTTACAACATACACTATATTGCCAAAAGTATTTGCTCACCCATCCAAATTATTGGAATCAGGTGTTCCAATCACTTCCATGGCCACAGGTGTATAAATTCAAGCACCTAGGCATGCAGACTGTTTTTACAAACATTTGTGAAAGAATGGGTCGCTCTCAGGAGCTCAGTGAATTCCAGCGTGGAACTGTGATAGGATGCCACCTGTGCAACAAATCCAGTCGTGAAATTTCCTCGCTCCTAAATATTCCACAGTCAACTGTCAGCTGTATTATAAGAAAATGGAAGTGTTTGGGAACGACAGCAACTCAGCCACGAAGTGGTAGGCCACGTAAACTGACGGAGCGGGGTCAGCGGATGCTGACGCGCATAGTGCGAAGAGGTCGCCAACTTTCTGCAGAGTCAATCACTACAGACCTCCAAACTTCATGTGGCCTTCAGATTAGCTCAAGAACAGTGCGCAGAGAGCTTCATGGAATGGGTTTCCATGGTCGAGCAGCTGCATCCAAGCCATACATCACCAAGTGCAATGCAAAGCGTCGGATGCGGTGGTGTAAAGCACGCCGCCACTGGACTCTAGAGCAGTGGAGACGCGTTCTCTGGAGTGACGAATCGCGCTTCTCCATCTGGCAATCTGATGGACGGGTCTGGGTTTGGCGGTTGCCAGGAGAACGGTACTTGTCTGACTGCATTGTGCCAAGTGTAAAGTTTGGTGGAGGGGGGATTATGGTGTGGGGTTGTTTTTCAGGAGCTGGGCTTGGCCCCTTAGTTCCAGTGAAAGGAACTCTGAATGCTTCAGCATACCAAGACATTTTGGACAATTCCATGCTCCCAACTTTGTGGGAACAGTTTGGAGCTGGCCCCTTCCTCTTCCAACATGACTGTGCACCAGTGCACAAAGCAAGGTCCATAAAGACATGGATGACAGAGTCTGGTGTGGATGAACTTGACTGGCCTGCACAGAGTCCTGACCTCAACCCGATAGAACACCTTTGGGATGAATTAGAGCGGAGACTGAGAGCCAGGCCTTCTCGTCCAACATCAGTGTGCGACCTCACAAATGCGCTTCTGGAAGAATGGTCAAAAATTCCCATAAACACACTCCTAAACCTTGTGGACAGCCTTCCCAGAAGAGTTGAAGCTGTTCTAGCTGCAAAGGGTGGACCGACGTCATATTGAACCCTATGGATTAGGAACGGGATGTCACTTAAGCTCATATGTGAGTCAAGGCAGGTGAGCAAATACTTTTGGCAATATAGTGTACTTTCCTTGTGACTCCCAGTATTTATTTGCAAACAGGCCCCCATGTTTCTCCACCTTATGAGCTCAGCGCTTTGCAAGTCATAACTCCATTTGTAGGGTTGTACAGGGTACAGTGCTCTGCTCAGATCTCTGCTGCTGGGCTAAACCACAAATAGGCTCCAAGGTAGCAGTAGTTTAGGTTTATCTCTGTCGGCATCAGGCCAATTATAGAAATCAATTATTGTTGTGTTCAAACATTTTATATTATCAGGTAAGTCTAACATTATTTAGCAATGCACTCGGAAAGCTCCATATTTGCTCTCACACGGGGTCTGCTGGAACACCAACAAACCAGCATCCACATAAAAGCATTATTTTAACTTGTACAAACTGTTACTTATAGGGTAGAAAGGCATATATCTGTCATTGTAGTACAATGTGGGTCATTGTTTGCCTGCTTCATGGGAGAGGAGTTTTCAGGATGATCAACCGACTGTAATTTCATGCCTGGTGCTAACAGGTCTGCCAAGAAGTCATGATAAAACTGCCCTATAAAAACACTGGCAATCACTCAGATAATTGTTGCAATGGGGTTTTTCTGTCAGGCATAAAGAAAGTATAAATCTAGACTTGTATAGAGAGGAGAATGACATCAGTGTTTGCGCCACATCTTGACTCACATACGTTTCTGTCATCAAGAGTCTCATTTGATGTGTTTACTCAAAATATCTCTGACACAAAGCAGGCCGGAACACATCAGCACAGTGAGTCACTGCCCCTGGTCTGCAGTGGCCAGTCATCCATAAGTTGTACCAGCAGGCATGTTTTTGCACATTAAACCCAAGAGGCATGATGTGGCTAATGAAAATGGAAACTGTAAATAGCCATTTGTTTAAAAAAAACAACTTTTCAAAGTATTAAAGAAATGGTTTGCATCAGGGTGAATTAATGAACTGCTCTTTAAAAAGAAAACCTCATCTATGCATTTTCAGAGGGTCAGAGATGTCGCTAAATGAGTCATGTGACCCAGAGTAATCTGAGTTCATTTAAACATGAGAGCTAACTAAGCTAAAATTTGTTGTAAGGCAGCAAAACCGATACAACTTACCTGATTAGACATATGTTTTGTTCTCTGATGTAAGATTTAGCGGCTTAAGTTAGAGACAGTGCAGGGCTGACAGAGGGTTTGAGGGCTACTATACCTAGGAGTTACACGTCTAGCACCCTGAGTGGCTAAACGTTACACAGTAAAGCTGTAATATTTAATTCCAACATTTTTTTTTTTTTTTGATTGGAGCCTCTTGTTTTAAACAGATAAAAAAATTGATTTATATAATTGCGTATTTAGCCACTATTTGGCAGCGGAGCAAACATAGGGTTCAATATTGAGCTGCTATTACATTTTGATCAGACTTTTTTTCTGTTCTAACATAGATACATATACAAGAAAAGTTTATTTCTAAGTTGAGCTTTGAAAGTAGAAAAAAGAAAAAATGAAAATAGCATATTCTAGCATTAAAGCTACAGTGTGTAATAATTACAGGGATATACAGTCAGAAATGTAATATATTATACATAACTATGTTATTTATCATCATCTACGAGCTCAGCCTCTTAACCTTAATATTTGCGTTGCCTTAGAATTCGTTATTTATAATTACATAGGAGCGGGTCTCGCAGCCATGGAGGCAGACATCTTTGCGCTACGGCAGCGCAGAGCCAACAAACCAGCGATTGCGAGATCGCCCATTACGCTCGAAAGTAACTACGGCAAGTTGAGAGAGATGAACTGAGACGGTACTGAACAATAGATGGCAGTATTATGCCTGAGAATACTATCTGTAAAATTATCTATGTAAACAAACCTCATCACTTGAGAAGGTAGGTGATGCGGACGTCGTGGAAGACATTTTGTCCCGTAACGCTCGCCGTACTGTTGTGGGGGGAGAAGTGGTGGGGGGGAGATGTTCATGTTGCTGCGGTCTGCAGTCTGGACGTTAGATGTCGCTAAAAATTACACACTGTAGCTTTAACTGTACTTTTATTTTTTTGCTGAGGGCCATTTGGGTCCCAAAAGTCCTTAATATGCAGCAGCCTGTTTTAGCAACGAATCAAAATAAGCAAATCAGTTTCTAACCTCTGCATCATAGACAGCAACTGAGACTATGCGTTTTCTTTAAATGATAATACACTGTTTATTTGTATTTCCCTTTAGCTTAGCTTAGTCTTTATACAAAATGCCCTAATGCTGCTAACAACTATTCTAACTGAAAATGCACTTTTTGTTCATCTTTGGCTGAAAAATTTCGGTTGGCTGAATTTTTGGTGCATCCCTGGGAATCATATATAACCAACAGGAAACAAAACAATCACATCAACCAGAATCCCAAAATAGTTTACCAAAGACGGCTAAATATGTCTAAAAACTTTTCTATATTAAAACATTTACATATATTTTTTGTTTTATTTGTGCATGTATATTATCTACTGCATAAATTAGATCAATAATTGGGCTGGATATATTAACAAAGTAATATAATAACAAAATGAGGAGAGTTGGCCTAGTGGTTAGAGCGGTGCGCTTGTGCTCTGAGAAGATTTCAAGTACCCGGTTCAATCCCCAGAGACTGCCCTCTGGCTCTCTGAGCAAGACCCTTAACACCACACTTCTCCCTGGGTGCCACACAATGGCAGCCCACTGCTCCCCAAGGGGATGGGTTAAAGGCGGAGAGTTGGTTTCTCCATTGTGAGATCAATAAAGTTTAATTTCAATTTCCAAAACCTTAGGATGGAACAGTAAATGCACAGAAAAAGGTAAAAAACATATGCCTCTCTACCCTCAGTGTATGCGACCGATGTAGAATATAACATCTCAAATGTCTGGTTCCCAAAACCTCAAAATTAAGCTTTAAATGATGTTAAATCCATAGGAGTAATTGTTTTGTTACGACGTCTCCCTGTATCACTAACTTTTGATGCATGATCTGGACATATTCTTTGAAGCCTCTCGGAGCATCACACAGCAGCAGAACCAGTTAGTAAGCTCTGCCCTTCAGCGGTTTATGTTTTCACATGGTTTGAGTGACATTCAGTTTAGACAGATGTGTATATAATGCCACCAATCTAACAGACAGTGTGGCTTCTTCATCTGTTTGTTCTGAGATATTTGAATTTTATTCAGATAGCTTGATTTGAAGTTGTCTGTAAATGCACAAACTATTGTTCCAAAAAATATTCTATGCTTTTAATTTACTCTCTCTCTTTTTTTTAAACAACGGATTTAAATGAGCTTACAAGAATGGGTTTTAAAATGATGACAAACTGCAAGATCATATTGATTTAGTATTAACATGTTTCTTTTGCTGCGGTAAGGGACTTTTCCTGGCCGTGGGAGATTTACAAGTGCACTCCTGCATCAGGCAGCATCAAACAAGCTTTTCATTAGCTGTAACCACAGAATCTCTTTCAGGCTCTTTGCCAAGCTGATATCCTCAGACATTTAATAGCCCCCACCCAAACCTAAGGCTCATCAGCAAACTTAAAGAGCTATAATTAGACTCT